CAAGATAGGGACTGTAGGTTTGTTCTTAAGTTGAATCTGTATGTAAGTCAGAACTGGTGTCCAAATTCAGCTGCTGTTGAAACTAAAGAACCCCAGGCATCCCCAAGTCAGCTGCTGCTGAAACTGATCAGCGGCTGATTCCAGGAAGCCAGGGGCAGAGCAACTCTGCCTCGGGCTTCCTGTAGTCAGCCGCTGGTCAGTTCCAGCAGCAGCTGAATCTGGACGCCAGTTCCGACTTACATACAGATTCAACTTAAGAACAAACCTACAGTCCCTATCTTGTACGTAACCTGGGGACTGCCTGTACATAGTTAGATCCTACAGTATAGGAAATTGGGAAGTATAAAATAGTCATCCTTACATGAGTTACAAAGAGGGCTTATCTACAGTGTGACAACACACTCTACAGGAGTGTGAGTTCTAAAGCTTACTAATGAGTTGCATATATATCAGACCATGTAGATCCTACTGGTGTGCCCGAGAAATTCCTTAGTGCACTTTAACATAATGCTGTTTGAAACAGTCCTACGTTAAAACAAGGTAGGAAACTTTTAGGGCATATCCCAGGAGGGAATACACAGACCAAGTAATATGCAAGCTAGTGCATTTTACAAATCATACCCTCTGCCCCCTGGAACCCATTACCACACAATGTAAACAAACCCAGAGTCTCTCCTTACAGTCTTTGTAGATTATTTTATGATGAAAGTCTTCGAAATGATGAATCAGTAACTAAGCTTGTAGAGATAGGATGGCAAGATGTGCACTACAGATGCATGGGCTAGGGTTTTTGGTGAGGAGTGGGGATATAAGGGTTTGGGTAGCAGGGGAAATGTATTTTGAGACCTGTTATTTACTCTTGATGTGAAAGAGTGCAGTTTTGCTGCTAGATGATTACACGTTGTGGGGTATGATTCTAAGTACTTGTTGTAACAGCTAGACATTTGAGTAGGAGTCTTTTGTATTTAAATCTAAATACCTAAGTAGAAAGCTTGTCACCATAAGATACAGACACACAAAATATGCAGTGAAACTACATAATTCAAGTAACGGGGCAGGTTAGACATATGGAGCATATTAAGATTAATCATTGTCACCATTGCCATTTATCTGCAGTCCCCTCTTCTAACTTATCCAGTGTCAAATATTTAGTATTAATGATCATCAGAAAAGAGAAATGTGTATAATTGCTTGCACTGGATGTAGTATACCCAGACAGGACAGAATGGACTGATGGGTCTATGCATCCCATCTCCTTGGTATTTTTTGCTTAGCCACAACTGTTAAATTCAAAGTGTGAAAGTCTAAGCCAAGATACATCAGGGTCACAATAGAAACTCTGGCCCTCAAAAGAACAGGCTCCATTTTCAGTCTGCAATATTTTAACCATGTTCCACATATTTGGTTTAAATCCCATGCTGCAGAAACTGGACATTTAAAAGTGGGTCCCAAGACAGGACAGTTTTTTGGCTCCTAGAGTTTGGTGTAGATGTGGTACTCAAGATCTTTCATAACCAAACCTGCTGAAAGTCCACTCCCACTGCTCAGGTGACTTCAAAACCATTTGCAAAGGTGGTGCAGTCTCTCAGCAGGCCTTCATTGTTCTTTGCCATTGGCTACAACCTCTCCTTTGGGGACCCACACCAAAAGCCACCACTTCAAAGGGGCATCAAGACAAGACATGGATTCACACGTCCATTCCAGCAGGGTTAGTACTGTGCTGCAGAGCTGCACAGCACAGGGAGGTGAGTCGCTGAGGCAGTTTCAAAACCCAGACAGCATTCGACCGGGTTCCCAGTCTGGCAAGAGAGGAAGGTGTCACTCACAGGAGCCCACTCGTAGTCATTTTAATTAGTACATTGGTTTCAAGCACCCTCAAAAAGCCTGATTAAAATCCTTAAAAGACAAAGTGCCACTTGCGCAGCAACAGAGACAAAAGACTTGAAAATACATCATAAAACTGCTTAGTCTTGAACTGGAGGCCTATGGAGAGGAGAAAATACAGTCACCCATGCCTGATGGCAGAGCTGGACCAGCTTGTAAAGGAAGGGAAGAGACGTGGGAGCCGCTGCAGAACAAAACAGAAATATTTTGTTAAAGTTTCATACCCTTCTGTATATAAATACCTAAAGGAATGAGCCCCATTTCGGTTAATGGAGGTAGTCAGCTTTCATTTCTCCTTATTCCTTCCCAGGTGAGTGCTCAGAGCCTCAGCCAGCAGAAACTTGTGTGTCCTGAAGAGGTGCTGCTCCCATCCCTAGTAAGCTAAGCTTCACCCTGCCAAGGTTCGCGGAACGGCACAGAAGTCCCCTCTGTGGGGGATACTGAGCACATGCCTTGGTAATAAAGTTTCTTAATTCTAGTGGAGACACTGGAAACTCTAATTACAAAACACAAAGGGGAATTGATAGCCACAGACTTTCTGAATGCTAATGAGTGCCTTTTTGGTCTGTTTTGGTTCAGCTTGTAGCTTAAATGGATCAAGTTTGAGGTTAAAGCTAAATTACATTTCTAAAGTTCATCAGTCACAGCCCTTCTTACCACCCTTGCAGCATCTTTCTCCGCTAGAGGCACAGTCTGGGACTGGACAGCTATGAACTGCCCATCACCTGTGCTGCCGGCACAGTTTCCACCAGTACCTTTGGTTAGGAAAGGTGGATGCAGTAGCTAGAAGTTTATTTACAACCAGATGTCCTATGTCTCCCAGCAGTGACTTTTAGTGGAAACTGTCGGAAATAGAGAAGCTGTGAGCTCCCTCCCACCCACCTTTGCTGCACCGTATCTCACAGTAACTGCTAATGGGAGAGGCTTGAATACATGATCCTCTTCCAAGTCCTACTCTAGCAATTCCCAATTGCTTGTTCATAACTATAAGACAAAATAACATTCAGAAACCTTAATTGCATACCGGGGTCTAGTCTCACCACAACAAGGCATAGTATGAGAGCAGCCAACAGCGTCTTTTTGAAAGGGCTGGAACAGAAGTGGCTTAACATGCATCCCAGTGCTCTACGCAGCATTGTTAATATGGTCAATAACTTTCGGGACACAGAGCCTGAAATATAAGGACAAAAAGTGGTTAGAGACAAGGGCAAGGAAAAGAAGACACACAGATGAGCTGCTGGGTTCCAAAAAGCTATCTTCAAGGAGCATGTGGGGCAGACACCCATTACACTGGCCTAGGAAAGGTTAACTTTGGCAAGAGAACTAGAGGTGAGTCCTCTGAGTGGTCAAGAGAGGCTGCAGGGAGGAGATGCATGGAACAACCAATCAGGGCCCAGCAACCTCACATAAAAGGAGCTACAGGGCAGAGTGGAGTAAGTTGCTGCTGGGACCTCAAAAGGATGTAGTCTAGACGTAGCCCTTATCGGCAGAGGGACGTAAATGAAGCATTTTGAAAGTGCAAATGAAGCCGGGATTTAAATATCCCATGCTTCATTTGCATAATCACGTAATGGTGCTCTTTCGAAAAAGCGCCATTTGGAAATTGAAACTGCAGTCTAGACAAGGTTCTTTCAGAAACGGGGCGCTTTTTTGAAATCCTGTAAACCAAAAAATTATGTTTACAGGATCTTTTGAAAAAGCTCTTGTAAACCTCATTTTTTGGTTTACAGGATTTTGAAAAAGCACCCCGTTTCCGAAAGAACCTTGTCTAGACTGCAGTTTCAATTTCCAAATGGCGCTTTTTCGAAAGAGCACCATTACGTGATTATGCAAATGAAGCATGGGATATTTAAATCCCGGCTTCATTTGCACTTTCAAAATGCTTCATTTACATCCCTCTGCCGACAGAGGGATGTAGTGTAGACACACCCTATCACTTAATAGCATGAAGGCTATTGCTATATGCAATAAACTAAGCATTTTAGTACAGGCAGTCTCCAGGTTACGTCAATCCGACTTACATCGGATCCCTAATTACAAACGGGGGGGGCAGCTAGTGCGAGGTGCCTCCCCCACTGTCGCCACCTCCGGCGGCGCAGGGGGCGCTTCCCCCCAGCGGACCAGGGAAACGCGGAGTGGCTTTTCTCGCAGCGGAGGACGCGCCGCCTGACATACTGTAGTTAATTTCACTATGGAACAAGACACCAGCCAAAAGGGGGCACTCCAGAGCGGAAAAATTAATTTCCTAGGGAACAGCAGGAGCAGCAGGCAGTGAGACCCATTGTCGGCCGCTGCTGAAGCTGATCAGTTTCAACAGTGGGTGAATCTTGACGCCAGTTCTGACTTACATACAGATTCAACTTAAGAACAAACCTACAGTCCCTATCTTGTACGTAACCCGGGGACTGCCTGTAGTCCAGACATAGCCAAGGAGTGAAAATTGTGTCTCTAGTAGGCTGAAAGATCTGTGGTATCTTGGAAAGAGCAACTACTCATTGGGATGAGGAGTTCCTGGTTTGCTCCAGAGAGCATTCTGCACCAACAAACTAAAAATGCTGTGCACAATATTTTAACCGTCTGCAAAATTCTGCATTTTTTTATTTGTTAAATAAATGTGGAAACTCCAGCACAGGGAATGGCTGCACAGAAGTGAGAAAACATTGTGCAGCTCCCTCCACCCTATCCCGTTCATGGACTCTGCATGAGGCTGCACTCAACACTGACACAGTGCAAGGACCAGCCCTGTCCCAGAAACTCCACCACCACCACCACCACCCAGGATGCTCCTTCTCCATGCCAGGTGAGTGGAGCTCATTGGGGGGGAAGTGAGGCTTGGCGAGAGGGTATTGGTATGAGAGGGTCTGGATACATGGGTGCTGGGCTGATGGGGGAGCAGCTCCCTCTACAGGGATCCCTCCCTCTGCAGTTGAGAAGTGATGGGTGCAGGAAGTGAGTGGTGGCAGTGGGGAGGGGAGTTTGCAGCAATTCCTGAAGCTGGGGGAGAAATCTGGAGGTGGGTGTGACCCAGCCACAGATACCATGCAAAGAAACACAAAGTCCCATCCTCCCAGTCGTAAATGAGACTAGCAGCCGAGTCCAGTGCATGGTAGGAGCCACTGGCTGGGATTTCCTAAGTCCTGCCCATTACCACACAGTGATTTACCTCTGTTAGTCGTCTTGGGCACCTAAAACATACTGCTGGAGAGGGTCATATGACCATTCTTGTGGCTTCCCTTTGCCTCCCCATCAGAAAGTCATTTTTCTGTGGGGAAAGCAAAGTAACCTGCAGGGGACATAAATTCAGTGCATGCACAGTGGCGCAGAATTCCCTCAGAAGTACCGATTGATTGCTGGGGCTCGGTAGTTGCATGTTGAGAGGCTAGGGAAAAAAAGATGCTGGGGCCATGGGGAAGAGGCCCAGGGAAACATAACAGCACTGGGAGAAATTAAGAAGTTTGGGACATGGAGTAGTGGGTGGGCCCAGATCCCCTTCCTCCTCTCATCACTGAGGAAGTGGAAGGATTATCGTACTGAGGCACTAACCCCAGGAGGAGGAGGGGGAAAATACAGATGGTGATGCAGCTGGAGGTCTGAGTCACAAAGAGGCTGCTGCAAGTGAGGCCACAGGCAGATGCAGAAACCGAGTGATGACATGCAAGTCACGGACAGAGGCACTGGCCTCAAACTAATCTCCACATTGACTAGGATGCTAGCTCATTGGTCAGTGATGATAGGACAGGACAGGACAGCTCCTAGAAGAGGAACACTGTGTTTGTACCAGGTTCCTCAAGGCTCCTGGCCTGTCCAAGCTTAGCAAGGATGTAACACCACATTGGCTCCAGCAACCTACATAACTTCCTAATTGGGCAGCTAACAGGTGTGCTCCATTAGTTCTGCTGTCTTTCCAAAAGCTTGGTGGTAGCTGTTATTGAGGAGGAAGCTCTATGGGAACTTGTACCTCCCCCCGCCCCCCAAAAAAAACACAACAAACAAAAAAAAACCACTTTATAGGACTATAAATACTGATGTCCCATAAATGAGGATACCCCAGATATGTGATAGAACATCCCGGAGACAAAAACTCCCAAATAATTCAGCTATTACTTAAGTCTAATAGGTGCTTAAGTACCTCCCATTCAGTCGATTACACGGGCTAAAAAAATAAGGAAGTAAACACTGGCAAATACATAAGCCCATAAAGGAAATGCTATCGGTCTTAAGTTTACTACTTTGTTCAGCCACAAACTATGTAAGAGGTCAGAAGGCATATCCCCAAGCAATATTGTTAGTTAACTGGTAATATTAAGCCAGCAGACTAAGGCCATATTTACACTATGGAAACTGGTGACACAGATATGGTGCTTTCTAGCTTGTGCTGGCATAACCCTGTAATGTAGATGCTGCCTACAGTGATGGATGGGAGTCTGTCACTGAAGGAAATCCACCTCTACAAGTAAAAGTAGGCATAGTCAGGGCACACAAGGGTGTGGCTTTTTCACATCCCTGATCATTGTAGCTCGATGAACCTAAATGTTACATGTAGACCAGGTCTAACAATATGGTGGGTAACTGCTCTTGTTGCTGCAGCAGCAATGAGTATCAACTAGTGCCAGCTGCGATGGAGTTTCGAGAGACGGAAACTTGACGGAACCGAAAGCCATCCCCAGACGACTTTCAGCCACTATTAATCTTGGCTAGGTTGGGAAAGGAGAACTGGCTGTACAATCATCCAATCCGGCATAATAAAAGAAGAAAGAATGAAGAATACAGACCTTCTACCTTCCAACTGGTGTTCTTAGAATCTAGCCCCAGTTGGAAAGGAGGACTGAAAAGTCAACCATGTAATGGCATCTTACAGCTTGAAATAAGTGAGTAGCTTCAGTTCAGTTCCCGGTGGGCAAGTATCCAAATCCTACAAAAACACACCACTGCAATTGGCATCCAGCAGAGAGGTCAAAAGCTAAAGAGGCACGGGAAGGTAGGAATTCTGTGGATTTCCTAGCACAGTTTGAGGTCTTTATTTTAATTTGAAAGTCCTTAATTAGTTTGGGTTTGTTAAGGTACCACCTCTTTTCCCTCATACAATGCAGCCACAGTTGTGAGGCATCAGAACTGCAGCTCCCTCAATGAAGATGGGAAAAGACTACTCGCAGAACAGTTCTCTGTGAAGGGCTTTTAGATCTGAAACTAGCTTCTCCTTTTGACTTGCCTGATTTGCTGGCCTTCTGGACATGCTGCAAAGTCCATCTTTTCTCCTGAACATTTGGGAAGGATCCAAGCTGAGGGATCTGGGTTACAGGAAAGGGGTTTGAGATTAATTATTTTTTAGCGGACAGTGATTACTTGAGGAGGGAGAATCTGCAGACTGTATTTTTCAGACTGTATTTTTTAAAATGTATTTCAACATTGCGAGTTTTAACTATAGTGAAAGCACCAACTACAAGTACATAAAACGCTTAACATAAGTCTAAATACAAATAGTGATTTGGCCCAAGTTCAATCACTCCCTCTTCCACAGCTTGGAAGACAACAGCAGGAGCGCAAGGACTGGAGAGAGAGCGCCTACCTAACAGCTTCTGCCTCACTGTAGCTGGTTGGTCTTCAGGGGATGATTGTGTCTCTTCTTGCTGTACCCACCGACACCTCCTCTCACTAATGGTCCTCAGGGCCTCAAGTTGTTGCTCCTTGCTGAAAGCTTCACAGCTCTGTACCAGCTCCTCTGCCTCCACAAATTGTCCAAGGGGGAGCAACACATGCAACACATGTAACTCCATTAAGGTGCCATACGAAGGCAGGCTCTGATTGGTTAAATCTCTCAGCCAATAACTGTCAACTTCCAGCATCACATGGGGCTCCTTCACTTTGCTATATAAAAGGATGCTAGAATCCAAGAAAAAAAAAAGTTGAGATCACTTACGATTACCAACTTCAGTCATCTATAACCAGGACTGGACATAGATCCCTCAGTAACACCCGTGACATCTTAAACACATGCTGTTGGCATTGGTGGTGACGTGTGACCTTCTCCCTAAAACTCATAATGGTTACACAGTTACATACACTGCAGGCTTAAATAAGCTTTATACTGCAGCGCCCACTGCCGCCAGTCCTGCTCCTGGGGAGGCTCTGCTGCGGGCTCTTTAGCCAGCTGCCTGGGAGTGGGGCTGGCAGCTCCTGCTCCCAGGGAGCCAGCATGTGAACTGTGATGGGGGAGCGCAGAATGGAACAGGACCGCCACAGACAGGGGCTCCTCTGGTGAGCCCCGTGGTGCTGAAGCAGCCCCCTTCTCAGGGCAAGGGAAGTGGGGAGTTGCTCCAGCCTTTACCAGTTAGCAATGTACATTCCTATGATAACCTCCTGCCTTAGTCATCTCTTTTCCATATTGAGAAGTCCAAATTTTATTATTCTCTCCTCGTACACCCCTAATCATTACCACTGCCCTTTTCTGTACCTTTTCCAATTCAAATATTTCTGTTTTGAGATGAGGACACCAAATCTGCATGCAGTATTCAAGATGTGTATGTACCATGGCTTTATACAGACACTGTGATATTTTCTATCTTATTCTAGTGGTTCCCAATATTCTGTTAGCTTCAGTCAGGAGACAGTCGCAGTAGCCCAGCCCTGCTAACGAAGAGGAGGGAACAACATGTCTTTCACTGCAGCAAAGCACTAGGGAGACGCTGCACTGTTTGACTACTCCAGTGGAGAAGTGAAACTGCTACCTGACTATAGATGCTAGAGAACCCCCCCCCCCCAACACCACCACCACAAACACACAACTTGGGGAGTGTGATCTTGGTGTCAGAGCAACATCCCTCCTCCCACTAACATAATTTACTTCCAGAGTCTCTGGCCATGGAAGAGCTACAGTTCAGCATGTAAAAGCTTCTAACCTACGTGTGGCATTCCTTGAAATTGAAAGATGCTACAGAAAACCAAGTTCAGCTCTGTTCTTTCATTCTGAAATGATTTCCTTTTAACAACTGTGCCTGCCCCCTCTTTTGTGCCAGACTGGAAGGGGGAAATGACAAGAAAGGAGGAGGGACACAGGAAGAAAAAACCCAACTCAAACCCCATAGAACACACTACACTTGTATGTTATGGAACCTGGGTATTTTAGGCAGAACACATCGGGAAAGCACAGATAATTACTCACCACAGTTCCAGAATTTTTGGAGGCAGCTGTTCAGGGACCTGGTAATACTGCAGGACCCAGGACAGAACTTCTCTCCACCGGTTCATCTCTGCCAGGGCCTGGATCCCCACAATGCACAGGGAGCATTTTACTTCCGCAGAGCTGTCAAATGGACAGGACAGGTGAAATGAGCACTTACGAGAAATGCTGCTTCAGAAGCCTTCCCTGTCCTGACATACCTTAGCTTGAGGGCTTTCTAATTCCGCCTCAGCAACTTTTCCCCAAAAGCACAGACAGCGTTCAGCCTTTTAGGCTGGATGTGTTTGTTACACATCTCCAGCAGAAGTTCCACATCTCTCAGTCATGCGCGGACCCTTTTTAATACTAATTAGGAGTTTTCTATATTCACAGATATAAAAGCAGCCAAAACAAGCTAAAGTTACCTATAAATTAGTTTAGCAACGATCTAGCCTTCAAAAATGGTTTGGTTACTAGAAATCTTGACCAGAACTGTGGATATCATTATTATTTTAGGACTGAATGTACTGAATGTGTTAAGAGATTCCAACCCTAAATAAGGCATGATTGATAAAATACTTTTCAGGACCAAAGAGAAGCAATAAGAAAGTGAATGAGATAAGCCCTGGCCTAAAATTCAAGAGAACAGGGTTCAAATCTTCACCTTGCTTGTGTAACTCAAAGTAAACGATTCACTCATTCTCTCTGCCTCCGGCCTGGTTTACACCAGGAAATTAGGTTGGTATAACTGTCAGTCGGGGGGTGAAATTTCCATACCTTGAGTAACACAGTGAAAACAACTTAAGCCCCAGTGTAGGAAGTAGTCAGTTGATGGGAGAATTTTCCCAAAAACCTACCTACTGCCTCTAGAGGAGGTGGATGGATTACTGTGGGTAGAAGCAGTGCCTTCACTGAAACACTACAGCAGCTATGCTGCTGTGGCATTTTAAGTGTAGAGAAGCCCTTAGTTCCCCACCTATAAAATGAAGATTCTACTACTTCCCTCCCACTATTTGTTGGTCTTGTCTATTTAGACTGTCAGCTCTTTGACACAGGCCATATATTTGTGCAGCACTTAGCACACTGGGGTCTCTGGATGTGACCGCAATATAGCAAGCAAAATATAAACCTAAACCGCTCCTTTCACAACCTGGGGATTTTTTTTAGAGTCCTTTCCTGGCTCTTCTGCCATATAACAAGTATGGGTTCAATCAAGTAGTGGCTAACAACATAATTTCCATGCAATCTAATACATTCTTCCAGGGAATTCTTATCTTGATGCCCCTCCCCACTTGAAATATGTCTGTGGGCCATTTGGTACCACAGGAACCTTTGGACTATATTCCCATGGGGCATAATGAGCTCAAAAGCCATCAAAATAATGCAGTTTTTTGAACTCATAATTAAAACTAAGTAGAGCTAGACCAGATCTGTTGATTGGCAGAACCTCCAAAGAAATGGGAGTTAAAGGCCTAAATACAATGGAGGATTGGGGGTTAAATCCCCAGAGTTCATACACTCCAGCTGTTCAGTTCCTCCACCCCAAATCAAAAACTTAAGTAAAGTACATAGCCTTGGAAAAGAAGAAGAGCAGGAGGCATATTTTTGTCTTCAGATAAGGTGGGGAAATGAGCAACAAGACTGGATAACCTAACACTTCAATTCTGCTTCTAGGATAGACAAAGGGACGAAAATATCCCTAAATATAATGCTTTATAAAGAGTTAATAAATGATAGTTATTCTAAGCACTTTACAGAGATAAGTAGAAAGAAAAATTCCTATATTCCATGGCCAGAAGGGACCATTATGAGCTAATCTGACCTCCAGGACAACACAAGCCACAGAACTTCTTCAAAATAATGCCCAGAGCAGATCTTTTAGCAAAACTTCCAATCTTAATTTTTAAAAATGTGTCAGTGATGAAGAATCCAGCATGGGCCTTGATAAATTATTCCGGTGGTTAATTACTCTTCCAGTTAAGGATGTTAAGCATCGACTAGTTTGACTAATGGAATAATTGATGCCTTTTAGGCAGAACACATCTGTTCCCCAAGGCAGGACAGATCAGATGTTAAACTAACTGAGGTTAGTTAAATTTTAGCGGAGTCCTATCAAACATCTCATGCTCCCTGTAGCTGGGTGTATTCACGCACAAGAGTCATGTCTTTTCTCTCAAGAGAAGTCACCCGATTGCGCTTGGATGGGAGTAGATTTCGCAGGACCCGGCTGCACAGGCCCTGCCTGCGTTTGCCCTGAATCACAAAGCAGCGGGATCCTCCTTTGCTCCGTGCCCCTTCCGTACCTTTCACAGCCAGGGTCCGAGGCGAGGCTCTCGCAGCCCCGCTCACACCTGTCCAGAGCAGCAGCGAAGTCCAGGTGCACCACCAGCAGATCCGCAGCCTCCTCCAGCAGAGCGGTCGCCGGGGCTAGCACTGGAGACAAGGACAGACTAGGCTCGCTGCTTTTGAGTCCAGCTAAGGACACAGGCAAGTCTTTCTTCATGGTGCCCGGGGAGCGGCGGCTGTTAGCTTTCGGGCTGGGCTACGTGCCTTTGAATCCCGTCCCCGCTCTTCGGAGCCATGGCTCGCTGCTGCGACTTATCTGTCCCCCTGTGCACGCCTGGGCTGGAGCGCAGCTGCAGGGGGAGGCTCTGCGCGATTTTACAGCGCCCGCTGCGCCGGAGTCTGCGTGCACCAAGCGGCTGCTCTGCGCCTGCGAACCGTGCTGTGGTCCGGTTGGCGGGCGCAGCGTGCAAAGCCCAGCCCCCTAGATAAACAGGGCCTGCCTCTCTGACCAAGAGCTGCCGCTGGGGGGGGTGGAGCACAAACCTATTCCTCTTAAGCAGGCATCTTCCCCGCCTAGCCACACGCCTAGCAGCGCTGTGCAGAGGGCTGTGGGAATTGTAGTTTCTGTGTGTCCCTGTTCTGCTGCCTGAGGGAGGCTGGAGGAGGAAATCAGGCAGAATGCAGTCTGCCCTAGGGTTTAGACCTGAGCCGAGAGGATGGGAGGGGTTTCCATGCAGTGTTTGGAACAGTGTCTCCACCAGTGCTACTGAGTACCCATAGGGGTACTTGACAGAAGTCTGGGGGGCAGGTCAACACAACTGAATTTTGGAGACAATTGAATTTTTGTTGTAAGTTTTACAGCGCTTTATTATTTTTGTACTTTTTACACCCAAAAATGTCATTGCCCGTCCAGCTACGATTAAGTTGTTTAAACAAATGTGTTGCAATGGTAGAAAAAAATATTGTGTCTGAAAACTAGGTACTGGAGATAATTTTTTTAAAGGGGTACTTTATAAAAAAAAAAAGTTGAGAAACAATAGTTTGGAGGATTCAGGTTCCAAGGGTTGTGCAAAGAAGGGGTGTGAAGGGCTGGTCCACTTCCCCACAGATGGAAGTAGAAATGGAATTACTTTGATTTTTTTCCCCCATTCCTTATGTCAGTGAATTTTTATTGAGCTGCAATGGGGGTGGACTCTGAAGTCCTGAACACAGCCAATGCCAAGCCACAGCTTTCCCTGGGAGTGTGGATTTCAGAACCCATTGGGCCCACCAGGGTTGACACAAACTGAGCCTTCATGGAACCTGATTTTAAGAGGCGCTCGCGGGCATCCATGAAGTTCAAAAGCATTTCTGAAAATCTGAAGGGGGTGCCTGAAATTCCAATGTTGCTGCAAAGAGCTAGCTTTTATTATACAGGCCATCATCGCTAAAAGTCCAAGATACATTCCAAAAACTTGAACTTATAACAAAACAACTTAAAGTGGGGAATTTTTTTCCCCACGGATAACTTCCATTTGCACATTTTTTTTTTTTTTTTTTTTTGCAACTTAGCAGCAGGGAATGGGAGGACTTATAATGCATCAGTTCCTACAAGCGTCAACATCTTTAGTGTGGAATGGATGTATACCAGGTTGATTTATATAGTGGGGATGCTCTGTACTGGACTAGAACACATAGAGGCTGTTGAGGGGGGAGGTGATTAGTAGCGGCCCAGACAGTTTTCTTAAAGAAAAAAAGCCATGTTCTCAGGAATCCACAGAGAAGGCCTTGAAGTGTTTTTAAAAACTATTGCTCCTAGTAGTTATGCCAGAAGGATACTACTCTTTGAACATGGGGCAGCTATGGTCGTGCTAGATATATGTTTCTCAACCAGTGGTACTCGTACATAAGGACATAAGAATAGCCATCCTGGGTCAGACCAATGGTCCAGCCAGCCCAGTATCAGCCCAGGGATATGCGAGAGAAGTCTGAGGGGTACATCAACACAAGTAAAAATTGGCAAAAAATGTCTGGGATTTTGCCCTGCAAAAAGGATTGGGGAAGGGGCAGTGGCACGTGCCTGTCAAATTGAATGTTCAGAGCCACGTGCCCGGACATTAACAGCCACTCTGTACACGTGCCCCAGCACCTGGCAGGAAAAGCGCATGGCTGTGGCGGCTCCAGTGAGACCCAGGGCAGTTCCAAGTTTGGGGACAGGTTCGGGCAGGGAGGAAAAAAAAAAAACTTCCATAGCTGCCTCTCTTAGTTCGTTTCTAGGGTTGCCAGGTGTCCAGTTTTTAACCAGACAGTCCAGTATTTGAGCTTTCTGTTTGGGAAACAAATTGAGAAAATATAAATGCCTGGTATTTTCTAAATAAGATGTAATGTAGATTGTGATGTAATGTCAAGTGTGTCCGGTATTTTTGTTGAAACCATCTGGCAACCCTATTTGTTTTCTCTCCAGCAGCCTTCCCAGGGTGCTCCAGCGGAGAGGGTGGTTGAACCTGGAGACGTGTATTACCCTCACCCCCACCAGCAGCTCAGTACAACTTATCCACATCGCCCCGTCCCCAAGGCGCTGTGGAGAGAAGCTAAAAGGTGGTGAAGCAGCACAATAAGCTTTGCTCCAGAGAACCCCCCCCCCCCGCATCAGTGGCGTAGCGAGGGGGGGCAGTTGCCCCTGGGCGCCATGCTGGGAGGAGTGTCAGGCTGGGTTGGGAGCTCACGGTGGCAAGCCCGGCACTGGTGGGCCACTTGCTTCCTGCAGACAAGCTGCCGAGGCAGGGCCGGGCGTCAGGAGCGGGCACTTCAAAGGTAGGGTTACCATACATCCAGTGCCTGGCTCTGGGGGAGAGGTGGTGCATTGGATTAGAGAAGGGGGTCTGGGGTGCCTGGCTGAGGGGAAGGACATTGGATTAGAGCGGAGGAGCTGGGGGTGCCTGGCACTGGGGGTACTTATTTTTTTAAAGGGGTACTTTATTTAAAAAGGTTGAGAAATACTGCTCTAGGTGATTGAAACGGATAATGGGAGTCATCAGGAGTTCCAGACTCTGTACTCCAGTCTGTCATTGACTGACTTTGTGACATTGAGCAAGTCAAACTTTCAAAAATGCTGAACAGCTGAAACTCAGGAGCTCCAGGAGAGTTGTGGGTGCTTAGCATCCTCAAAAAATCAGTCTCAGTGCAGTACAGGTCACTTAATCTCTTACCCAATTTGTAAAGTTCTTTATCTCCATAGCTGAAAAAGGCTGTCTGTGCAAATCATTATTATTTAAGCCATGCGAAATTGTCACAAACATTTATCAGCTCACCTACAAGACCTTCTGTCCAACTGACTACTGGGGGAAGGGAATGGTTAAAAATTACTCAACTTTCCGCCCCCCCAAAAAAGTGCTGCTGCTGAGGAATTACATTTTGCAAGCCCATATTACCTTGGTGTTTTCTGGAAAATTAATGTTTTGTGTAAATAAAGGGTCAGACGTAGCTAGAACCCACCATTTGTAAAAGGAAGCATGCTCTCAGCCCTGTAGGTTGGCCACATGACAAATACATTGTATATTAAGTCCTTGAAGTTAATACTGTATCCTAATACATGTATTGAAGGATCATCCCCAATCAAAAGTGTGCTTAGGGAGTCATGCATGTACCATCCTGACAGGTTGCTGAAGTGAATTATTCTATACAAAAAGGTAACAATTATCTTGAATAATGAAAGGACTGACTGCAAGGTGGCACACTTGTTGCATTTCCTTCCATAAATCCCAGTACACATGCAGTGGTGGCATACTGAAAAGATGTGAACTGCCCTGGAAGAGAGGAAGACCTGATGTTGCAAGTAACAGTCGGTATATGCATAAAAGAGAAGAGTTTTCTTTGTGTAGGATAGGGCAGTGTTTCTCAACCAGTGGTACGAGTACTCTTAACGGTACTCGAGAGAAGTCTGGGGGGTATGTCAACACAACTGAAATTTGGAGAAAACTGAATTTTTGTTTTAGGTTTTACAACTTATTGTTGTTGATGACTTTATTATTTTTGTACTTTTTACACCCCAAAATTTTATTTCCTGCCCACCTATGATTAAGTTGTTTAAACAAATGTGTTGCAATGGTAGGAGAAAAAATTTCGAGTCTGAAAACTATAGGTACTGGAGGTATATATAACTTTTTTTAAAGGGGTACTTTATTTTTTAAAAAAAGTTGAGAAACGTTGGGATAGGGTATGTGTTTCTGTCGTAGTGATGAGTCTCGAAGGATTTGAGTCTCAGAGTTTGCTTTTTGATCAAATAAGGACACAAAGGTCATTAAAATCTTTGACTTCTCTGGCCAACAATCAAGACTTCTGTAAAAGAACGGAGTCCAAACCAAAGCTTCCACCTTCAGTTAAGGTAAGCAGGGAGTTAAGGAAGCTGGAATCAATAGGACTATGAGACTGCATATCTTCTGTTTAGTCTCAAGGTGGCGCCTTAGCAACATACATTTAAGCAACTAAACAGTTTTCAAAGGCCTAAACATGATGCCACACTCCAGAGTTTGGGGTCAGGTTGATGTTTGCTCCATTAACTGGCAATACTGAGTAGCTAAAGTTGAGGTCCCAAGCTTTTGCTCTCTAAACAAATACACAGAAACACTAGCAGGGAGCAGACATGAGAGAAAAGGGTAGAGCTTTCACTGTGACATAGATTGGATCTGGTCATACTGCATGGTTTCTTTTTTGAAGGAATTCCTGTTTTCTTCCTCCATGATTCTCAAGGGCCCTGTATTGTGGCAGCCTGTGTCTGGCTCCCTCTGAGTCCTGTTAAGTGCTGCCTCTTGGAATATTGTTAAAATGATGTTCTCAAGGTCAGTAACTTTGATAGACTAGATAAAGGCAAGCCTTCCAATATTTCTGCTCCCCACATCATATTCCATCCACACCATGAGATCTCGTCAGAAATCCTTTCTGTGCATGAGTATTCATGCATTCACTACTACAATACCTTGTTAAAAAGAATGGAATGATTTGTCCAATGAACTGTAGTGTGGATGTTACAATAGCCTCCTTTATTACATGACCTTCCAATATACATGCAGTAGTATAAAATACTACATATGCTTAACTATTGTGGAAAATAGCACAATTTGAACATAAATTACTACTACACAATGAGAGAACTTCCTCCAGCCACATATTTCCAGCTGAGAGGCGCAGGGTAAGTTATACTGTTTTGTATGTTTGCTAATTGCCCTCTGTTGTGTGTAATCATTTAATGAAAGTCACTAATGCATATGCCTAAAATGGCAGAGAAAAGGCTATAAGGGGGATTTAATACTGATGTTTCTGATTGGAGCGATAGTATGATTGAAATATCAGCTTTGCTGTTGCCCTACCCTGGTTTTGCACATAATTACTTAGCAGAAGAGCCTCTGCTTCCTTCCATAATGAGGTAAACATATGCTGCAGTAAAGACACTCACCAGACTAGAATGTAGTAGCGTCATTAATGTATGCTTTATTATTTGTGTGAGGCACTCCTATGATATGGTGATGACTGCAGTATGAAAATCTAGATAGATATAATTGAGGGGGAGAAGGTACTAACAAATCAGATTTAAACAGTTAAAATATAGGGTGTATAATTAAGAGTCATGAAGAGACACTCTCAGACATTTCTCTTTCCTTCTGTTTCTTTTGCTGGCTGTTTGCATGTTGGAAAACAACATTCCTTGCTGGAAATTATAACTCGCACTGTGGGAAGAAAATGGGTTGTACCAGTTAGTGCCCAACACAAATTCCCAAATATGGATAAGGAATCAATTTTGAAAGAAGTAAACAGTTGTGGAATAATCCCCGCTGAGACTCTGAGAGAGAGCAAAAGAGAGAGCATGAAAATGAGGTAAGTTTGCAATATGCAAATATACTGTTCAAGCATGTTGTTTAAAGAAAACAGCCAAATATTTTGGTCCTTGGCAGGAGAAAGCAGTGTTGTATTGATGACATTAGAATTGGTTGCTGTGGGGATGACTGTGATTTTTAACATGAGGAGTTATTGTGGGGGGGAGGGGGGAAGGAAGTGGAAAATAAGCCATAGGAGCAGATCCTAAGTGACTCTGACCATTTCCATGCAATCATCCATGCTAAAAAGAACAAGGGGAAAGAAATAAAAGCAACAACAATAATACAATTATATTACAGGGAGAGAAGCAGAATTGTTGATAAACCAGTGTTTTGCATGAAATGCAGGTTGACCTTTCAAGAAGCCCAGCTGCATTGGTAGGCATGATAGCGTAAGAGAGAGAATAAAAGTTCAGTTCTGCTCTGTAAGGCATGGGGAAATGTTTTTGTACTTCTCTCTTTATTCCTACAGGGGTCAGTGTAGTGCTTTGAAGACAAACTTCCTACATCACATTTATGTCATGCACAGTAGTACTGTAATTCAGTAACAGGTTCACTTATTTCAATGGCATCTTAACAAGCACAATTAAAATATGTTGATTTCAGACAGGATGGCTTTTAGGGACACTAGTCTTGAGTCAGAGAAAAGCCAACATCAGCATAGCCATTTCTGGAAGATTTTCCTTTTCAGAATTGAGTCCTTGTCTACATAGGAAAGTTTTACCAGTTATACTAGTATAGTTATACTGGTATAATGCCCTATGATGACACTTATTCCAGTGTCAGATTAGCTATTTTAAACCATCCCCACTCTCCGAAAAAGGCCACACTTACAAAGGAATAAGAATGCCTCTGTGGAGGGTTATTATACCAATATAACTATCATTTATGAATTTAAACCAAGGCTATACCAATAAAACTTTCCCATGTAGACAAGGCCAACTTTCTAATGGTTTGTGGCAGTGGAAAGGATTGAATTCAGGGATATCAGCTGTTAGGCATGTAGGGCAAAAGGGCATATTTTGGCATATATCATAATGCATTTTGCACCATATGTGGGATATCAACCACTATTTGAGTGCCCCTTAGTTGAGAAGGGAAGGATTTCTTTCCTATAATTTTGATTCTTTTTTAATGCAGAAAAACAAATTAAATGAGCCTGAGTAGTCCAAGGGCCTGTATTCACATGTGTACCATCTGTAAACTCATAGGTTCTATGCTTCCCCACTCCTGCAGTAGCTCAAAGCACGTTAGGGATACATGCACCTGTAACAAGGCTTCCTGGGGTAAATCGCTTTAAGTATTAATCCAGATCTGGCTAGCACACAGTCACAGGGCCAGAGAGCTGGGATCTGGCAATCTCTGTTTCTCCCAGTGTCTGCTGTGTCAGTAGGCTGTTCATATGAGATTAGTAGCATTAGGAAGACTTTGAGCTGAAAACAGTGAGGCCCTGAACTTGAAGGATCTATTCATAGACCCATATGACATCAGGTAGCAGTGTCTGCAACATAAAGGGTGTTGTAAGCCAGAGAGGACAAAGTGCAGCCTCTCGGACAGATATGAGTGATGAAGTTCTGCAATATAATGTAGCATGTGGCCAACCTCTTCTTTAATAGGGTGATGTGGTCCACAGATAGGTTCCAGCATAGAATGTGCTTGCTCTTTGGGTCAGGACAGTCCAATGCTGGAACATGTAATTACTGCGAGAAACCGTACTATATTAAATATGAGGCTGCAATCTGCTTAATTTAATCCAAATTCTTCAGTGTACCCTTACATTCTTGGCAAGCTATCATTGCAGCCCAAAATTGGCTGAAGTTTGGAGATTCCTTTTATGCCCCTAACAAAAAGGCTAAAAACAAAGTCCAGGTTTCCCATTTTCATTGTGTCTCTGTTGTTAAAAGAACACAGCTGTAATCTATTCTTTAAAAAGAAAAGTAAAAGTCTCAGGTACTACATCTGCCCCCAGGATCACCCGTCAGTGTTGACTGTCGTGTCCTATTTTGTAAAAGTCTTTGTCTCTCCTTGTACGGCTGTCTGAAAGACCCACACAAACAGCAGAAGTGACTGTTCCAAAGAAACACTTTTTCCCCTTTATAATAGCAATAATAGTCACTGGCCTGAGTATTTCAAAGCACTTTGGCCCTTAGCCTCAAAGGTATTTAGAGACCTAACATCTATGCCAGGCATGTCCAAAGTCCGGCCCGTGGGCCAATTGCAGCCCGTGTTCCGGTTTAATACGGCCCCACAGGTAATTTGGCAATATCTATCTTTTATGGCCCCCAACAAATCCATATGTATTGAGATGAATACATTGTAAAATCTCAGTTAATGTCAGTTGGTCTAAATCAGTTATAAATATATTTGGACACAACATGTATACTTGGTGTTATGTTCCTGTTCATATTTTTTGAACTTAAAAGTTGACAGACAACCTTTATTACCAATAATATGTAATATACTTTACAATGTTCCTGACATATATTTCAGCTTCCTGGATTTTTTTTCATCTGACCTTCAGATATGAAAGCCAGAGTGATTTAACACCTGTTTAGATTTGTCATCCATGTGACGAAATGAAAAGTATGCCGTTTGCAATAAACTTTGCATAAAATAGTTAATTTGCATTTAATTTTAATGGTTCAAAGAATGTCAGGCAAAATGGTCGGCCCTCACGCTTGTTCACTTCATCAAATCTGGCCCTCTTTGAAAAAAGATTGGGCACCCCTGATCTATGCAATTAATGGAAGATTGAATCCTAAATATATTTGTGGCACTAGGCCTTTCTGATCAGCTTTGTTAAGGTTTCTCACTTCCCCCAGGCAGTCATTAAATGATAGAAAATACTAAATGGGGGAGATCAATTCTGCTCAATGAAATCCTCTTTGCTTTACATAGCCTGAATCTTTTTGGTGTCTTTGAATCAGGGTTGTAAGTTCTCAACTATCTCATGAATTCTGGTGAAATTTGATTTTTTTTTTTTTTAATCTGAAATAAGGTTTTCAGAACATAAGGACGGCCATACTGGATCAGACCAAAGGTCCATGTAGCCCAGTATCCTGTCCTCTGACAGTGGTCAATGCCACTTCAAAGGGAATGAACAGAACAAGCCATCATCAAGTAATCCATTCCCAGCTTCTGGCAAACAGCGGCTAGAGTAGAGTTACCAGGTGTCTGCTATTGACCCAGACAGTCCGGTATTTTCACCTCCTGTTCGGTTAAAAAAAAATTACGAAAATACAGGACACCTAAAATGTCCGGTATTTTCTGATTTTTTTTCCCCCCCAGTCAGGAGGCGAAAATACTGGACACCTGGCAACCCTAGCACCCGGGCCTGGGCCTGGCCCCTGGCCTCGACACCCCCAGCTCCCTGCCCCTGGATTCTATGCTTACCTGGTTCTGCAAGGAAGCTAAGTTCTGGCTTGAACAAGAACACAAAATGGCTGCCGGCAAAAAGCCTATGACTTCCCTGGGTTTTTTTTTTTTTTTTTTTTTTTGCAGGGGGCAAAGGGGTGTTTGGTATTTTTGGTTCGACCATCTGGCAACCCTAGGCTAGAGACACCATTCCCAGCTAATGTACCTATTTTCCATGAATTTAACCCTATAGTTATCTGAGAATTCAAGGGTTTTTTTTTTTTAAGTAAAGTTTTAGTCATGGAGAAAAGGTAGACAATGTGAACCATAAATACTCCATCACCAGAAGGCAAATAAAAGGAATTTAAAATGTATTTTTTTTTCTTAAAATGTCATCATTTTAAAGCGAAATTCATTTGAGGAGACTTAGCTCCAGATTTTTATTTTTTTTATAATGCTTGGAGTTGTCAATATTGTTGATTAACAGGGCTGACTTTCATTTTAAACTCAGATTTATTTCCATCTCTCTGCTAATTATCACTGTGAATTCTTGACATCAGAAATGTTGACTCTTGAGAACAAAGGTATATAAACTTTACATTGACTAAAGGAACAAACCCAGGTAATTCTGGCTTTTGTTTCTGTCTCTCTTAGCTGGGTCTTGTGATATACTCATTGAAGGGTTAATTACGGGTTCTCTAAAGTTGCTAGGTAACAGTGTCTGGCACTTAGGATCAGCTAAGAAGGGATTGTTTTGATGATGCAATAATTCTGTCTAGTGTTTCATTAGTTCAGTGTCTTGCCACTCGACATGCTACTAGAGGACTGGGTGGATGGAATTCTGAAATGCATCAGAATTTTCCTGCTGTCTTGCTCATGTGTTTAGTTATTAATTAAAAGTCGATAATTTTCTGTTTTTCCTCTTGACCCCTTTCAATGTAATCACTCTAGAAACAATATTGCTTATTTGGAACTTCCTCCTATATTTTAAAGATCCATTTCCTACATAAGCACCCCATTGGAATAAGAGCTATGACCAGTTTGTGTAAAATTTAATTTGAATTGGTTTTCTTTGCCTTTGCAAACTGTTTTCATTCCCTGGCTTCTCTCATCTCTCCCAGAAGTGTCATAGCAATGCTGGCTGCAGATGAAGATGGGATTAGGTTTCTAATTAGTTTACTATCTCTGCACACAGTTGTTTACTTGTCAGCAATTGGGGAAGGGCAGCCACAGGAAACATTTCTGCTTTCTCCCCTTGTAAATGAAGCCTAAGCCCAGAGGATCATTTGTAAAGGCAGGCTAGGCACTCTTCTTTCTTGCTTTCATGCACCTGTCAAATGATTGATAGACTAAATGATGGACTCTTCTATTTTTACCAAACCTGAAATCATCTCTGATTTAGGATGCTATCCTATAGTCACATTCACAATGCTTAGGGTTGTCACCTTTCTGATTTCTGGTAGCTGGACCTCCAACACCTTGCCTCCTCCTCCACCTCTTCCCTAAAGGCCAAGCACCCAGGACTTGCTCCTCTTGCACCCTTTTTCCTCCTTCTCCACCGCACCCCACTCCTAGTTGTCTCCCTGTGCTCTGGAACTGGGCTGGGAGTGGCAGAAGCCTGACCTCCCTGGCAGTAGGAGATAACCC